GGTCACACCTGTACCTCTGTGTTTACTGGTCACTGCAATTCACGTACTCCATGGATTTGCCTAATCCCTTTTTAAGTGCATGTATACTCTTGGCCTGCACAGCATCCTGTGGCAAAGGATTTCAATGTTTAGTCATTCAGAAAAAGTCCTTCCTTTTGTTTGTTTTAAAATAACTAAACACTGAAGTGCAACACTCACTTGATTTCACTTTCTCACAACTGCAAGTAAAACTAGTTCTGGAGGTGGGGTAAAAAACAGAGGAACTCAAGGAAAGAGAAAGAGAAAAAAAACTGTCAGAGAGGAAGAAAAGCAGATTAACAAAATGAAAACCTCCAAAATGCTGCCACAACTACCCTGAGGGAAGTAGAGTGCAGTGCTGGGAGGCCAATTATCCTTTTGTCGATTTAGTTTTTAACTCTTTGGAAGGTGCTGAAATGCTACAGTGTCAAGCAACTTTATAAAAACTTGCATGAATGGATAAACGCGAGGCGGTGCTTTTGAAAACAAGTGAGAGCTTCTGAAAGGTGTATCCAGCCTAGCAGAAGCGAGCAGAGCTGATGTGGGTAAAGCGAACTACACTCAAACCTTCAGTTCAATACAGGGATTTGGACTTTGCTCTGCAGCCTTATAAAAGAAAGATCTTTCCATGGTTGTGTGCGCACACGCACATACACACACACACAGATATACACACTATTAAAATGCAAATTCATGCTCACTGGCGCATATGAGCATCTGCAGGTTACTCATGGCATAAGTGAATTTGGCTCTCAGCTAGCTCTCACCCTTTCCTGCCATGCGTTAGCCCGGAAAATCAATTTCAGTACATTCAACAGGATCAAAAGAACCTATATATTTCAGAGTCAGGTTTTTATACTGCTGTTAAACAGGTTTATACAATAAAGCATGAAGGGTTTCATTTATTTTAATAAACGGTGGGAAATTCTTTCCGTTCTCTTCATTCTCACGTTTCCCTGGGCACTATACAGTACAAAAACAACACTCTTCATGTACAAGTAAGTACCATAGGTACTTGCGTTAATTAAAAGACAGAGTGACTCAAGAAGAAAGTGAGAAATCATATTTTTGAATTTCCAACTGTTAGCATTATGTAGCATATGTATTTGCAGTAGATGCAAACATTTACACTCGCATATACAGACATTTATGAGTTGCTCAGTTGGCTGTTACCCACCTAACCTTTTCACATGGTGTTATCAAAGTGTCATACTACAGCATGCTTGTCAGCCTCAAGTTTCCTGCTCACAGAACTCAAGCCAACAATGTGTGCCAGACTCCAGTTAGTTAATTCAAAAAGAACTTATGAAAAACCATTACACAATCCACGAGACCAAAATCGGAGCCTTCTTAATGGCCTGGTGCAAAAAAATATGTTATTAAAAATAAAACATGTCAGAAAGATTTCAAAATATTCTTGTTAAGGGCTTGGGAGTAACATGCCTGGTAAGAAGAAAGACGAAAGATGTATGTAATTAGGAATGTCAGAACAACCATCTTCTGGGGGAAAAAGCTTTATGACCTTCACAGCTCTTTGGCCCAGGAGGCACGACTGTGTCTCTGGCTTTACCGGCCATTAAGGAACAGCCAAGAGACTGTTTACTGTTTCCACAGACACTGAGCCAATCTACAAGTCACACCCAGTAACCAAGAACTCCAGCAGCCAAACTACTGTGCAGGCTTACAACTCCTTATCACTTAAGGCTAGATATGACGCACCCCAGACAACAACACTTTTTAAAGGAAAAGTGTTTTAAAGGAAAGGTAGTAGCACTATCTAATTTTAAGACCACCTCACTCCATTAAAAGACCGTATTTTCACTTGCTTAGAGCACTGCCAAGATACAGTGATTTCAGCTCAGACTTTCCATGCTGGGTGCTTGCTTCAACCTTGTTTTGGAATTTTTAAGCCAAAAGGTTCCATCACTTCCAAGAACAAGGCTAGGAAAAAAGGCATTATTTTGCCTCTATTTTAAAAACTCTGTGAAAAGTTTGGGCACTCCTAGACTTTGGAACAGGAGCCTGAAATGTGTCAGGGTTCGGTCACTGTGCCAGAATTGTGCGTTCTGGCAGGTCATTAGTTTTTGAAAAACTACACTTTGTAAGAACTGGGACAAGGCAGGCAAAGGGACTGGGACATGGCAGGATTCGAGGGAAAAAACTGAGACTGGCCAGAGCTGAGGAGCCAAGAGTGAAATGGGGAATGTGAGTGGGGAGTTGCTGCCTATAGGGCAGCATGGAAAAGACAGAGGTATACCAGTGAGAAGCTAAGGGATGCAAGGATAGGTTGGAGGAAACAAGGGCAAGAGAGGTCAAGCTTCAGCAAGCAGAAAAAGGTCTCTCTGTTCCTCTACACCATGCACTGGCCTACGCTGAAGATCGGCAGTGATCACTCCTTGTCAGCTATTTTATTACGTCATGGGCAGAGATCTTTACTTCTTTAAGACTCCAGTCCTCCAGATAGCTAAAAGAAGTGTCTATACAATGCTACCACCAAGTGCTCTCTCATTTCCTTCAGCTGGCTTGGAAAAAAAGAAGCAAACAAAATTATGCAGAGAAGGATTTTGAAAAGTATTAAGGCTGAAAGCTGGGCAGGAGAGTGCAAGAATTATTAGCTTCACTGTGCAATTTAATCCAAGCCCCCTTGTGAATATTACAATCAGACAGTCTTTAAGTACACTAATTTTTCACCCTTGCCTTATAGCAAGCAGAAACAGACTTCTGTAGTGAAGTGTGGCCTAGTAGGTTGGGTGTACAACACCAAAGATTTGCCAGAGACCTACAGTTTTTGTTTTCTTGTCTAAAAACATGCCAGTTCTGGTCTTTGGCTTCTCGAAGATGGCCTCTAATAGTTGTTTCACATTTTGAAATTTGTTTCAGCGGGGAAAGAATATTTTCCCATCAGAAGACCCAAAGAACATGCTGAAGGTTTTTGAGAATTGCCACAGGCTAAGGAACCCTCCTTCCGCAGACCATTGGGTTTCTTTCCTCCTGCAGACCTCAGGATGCAAAAGAAGAGAGGATATTCCCTCGATTTCCTTCTCTTTTCTCGCCCCACATGCTACTGCCTACAGACAGGCATGAAAGCTGCCATTCAGGAAAGGCTTTCCATCCCAGTCAAGCTTTTTTACAAGTTTTTTAGATATACTAATTTCTAGAAAAACATAAAAACTGTTCTTCAGCAATTCGTATGGGAAATGATTCTCTTTGTAAATATCAGATGTAAAAAAAAAAAAATGCAGAATGCCATCTCCAAGGCTATGAATTTTCAGTGTAAATGTCCTTTTTAGCATGTTTAGTCAACTGTTTTGTGAATTTTTCTTTTAGAATGCATCTATCTGCTTCCAGCTAAAACATTTTTTTCAAGAAAACTTAAACTAAATAACTACCACCATTTTTAAATTACTTTATAGTGGGAGGGGGGAAGCTTCAGATGTTTGTCTGTAATTTAGAAACAGTTTTTTCATTGCAAGAGTTACTGAAACAAGCTTTCAAACATATATGCACAGTACCATCACACTGAGAAAAAAGGCTGGATTTATCTCAGTGTCCTCAGGTAGCGAGCCAACACTCAATTAGCTACACCTGGTCCTCCTCAGATGACTTACAGATTGTGAAGAAACATTACAGATTCAGGATATCTGCAGGCGTAGCTCCTCTGCTAATTCGTATGAGTCATCTGAGAAAAATCAATCTTTGTTTAAAGAATAGCGACACGGAATAGAAGCAACAGAGGACTTACTCAAGAGGTGATGTGAAACATTATGTTATTAGTCTTATCAACTTGCTGAGACAACAAAGTGTCCTCTCCAACCAGACGCTGCAAACACTTCAGGCCCATTGCTCTAAATTACACTGACTTACGGTTTCATATTTTAACCCAGTGGTTTAGTTTAGGAAACTAGGGTCATCTTCCCAGTTTGACCAGAACGTAACCAGTTCTGAATTTTTAGATTAGTCAAAACTTGCAGTTCAGTAGGGTAACTGGAAATCTCACAGGAAAAAAAAAAAACAAAACCCGTATGGACGTAGAGCCCACGGCACAACCACCTCCAGCTGAAATCTCTACGAATACTGCGACTGTGGTCCAGGACACCAGGGCACCGCTGCCCTGGTCCCAGTAAGACGCCTTCTTACTGGGGCTCACTGAGAGCCAGACCGCGAAGAAGACCTCCAGCCAGACCTCCCCTACAGCTCTGCCCCAGGACCCTTAATTCACTGGCAGGTATGGCTCTCCCAGGATGAACATCTTGATAACATAGTTCTCAGGGAGGACAAGGCAAGGGAAAACCCTGTCTACACCTCTGCAGAAAGAAATAAATTTGAAGAGTGGTCTCTTACCTTGCAAGGCATAGGCTTTTTGAATGAGATTTCAGCTTGAGTCCAAACTCCCTTTGGAGAGTCCAAGACAGACCATATTTTCTCCTGAACCACATGATTCTCCTCAAAGATATAAACAGCAAGAGTGCCACTCATTTTGAAAAACCCGTATAAGGCATAATAAAAACGCAGGCAATACTGCAAGTTTCCTGGCAGAGTGGGGCCATAGAGCCGTCCGATATACCCAGGCTGCGATGTAAACTTTGTGTTCGCCAGCAAGTAATAACCTGTAAGACAGTGCAATTATTGAGTATTTCTAATATACTATTTGCAAACCCGGTTTGTTATTAAAGCAGCTTGTGCTACTGCAGCAGACTTTGGTAGTAAAGACCGCTTCTACTGGCAGGAAACAGATTATCATACTCTTGTTTGAAAGGAAATAAGAATTTTTCTAAAAACATCCCTGCTATTTTAAACTGCACTGGCAAATGGCTAAGTGATTAGAAGTGAGCCCTTTTCAAATTTACATTGAAAAATTCTCTCCTTTGCAGTCTGCTGGCTCCACTGGAAGCATAACTTTATTTCTAGGGCACCACTCCCAGACCAAAGAATGAACGATGGGACACACAGCATATTATTTCCTGCACCAAGCATGGAAGAGGTGAGACTTTAGCACATACAGATCAGTAATCATGAATACTCTGTATAAAATGGATGTGTGAGAAGCACGACATTCAGAACACGCTGTTCAAGCAGCAGTATGCTGTTTCACTATACAAAAGTTCAAAGTTTTCCTTTAAAAATGCCACTATCCTAAGCCTGGAAGAGCTGAGAGCCCAGTGCCCTTCCATACTAAAAGCAGTGCATTAAACTACTTGTATATTTTCTCGTGCGTTTTTGTGGGATCACATCGTCAGTGACCACCAATCAGTGCAGCCCAGTGCAGTTACTGTGATTTACGGCCTGACGTGACCGCAGGGAGGATGAGCCTGCATTGTGGGATGGCATAGGTGACCTCCCCCTTCCACGTGCAAGGCCGGGCACAGCCAGCCTCTCAGCCGGGGCCGAGCAGCGTACACAGACTTTTCATGGAAGCGAGTTGCAGTGAGGCAACCTAACCTGTGTGCCAATGACATTATTTAACAGAGTGAAGAACACGGTAAACTTTCTATCCGGTTTGACTCTTCTGACGAGAAGGAGTTTTGATTTACCAAACCCTGTAGTGTGATCTCCTGCTCTATACACGTTGCGCTTTACTTTCACTCTGCTCCATCCCGGGCCATCCTTGTGATCCTGGTGAAAATTACACAGATCTTCCTCAAAATTGCAGCTTGCCTCAGCGGGATTGAAAGAAATTCCTAAAACATATATGCATATGTTCTGTTAGGAAAAGCACAGGACAGTAGGCATAGGTATGTGAAGAACAAGGATGCCAAAGAATACTCTGTTTCATCTTTTTTTGCCTATGTTTAACAGCAGCCTGTATTGCAGCAGACCAACATACGCGAAGGCATTAGGGATACATGGTACAAAGTCACACTTGATATCAAGCTATCAATTTTCTGTCGCAAGTAGATCTTATTTTCTTCTATTTTTGCCAGAGGGAGGGAAAAAAAACCCTCCTCCACAGTCCCTATAAAAATGAATAAGCTACATATATTAAAAGAAGATTTCTCCTTCAGGACATAATGCATAAAGACATTCAGACATTTATTTTCATCCTGCTCCTTTCCTCAAAAGATATTTGGACAAAATGAGTGTGAGCATGTGTGTGTGTGCCCACTTATCACATTTAGTCATATTTAATTTCCACTTTAATTTACAACCGTATAACTTTCTAACATAAATAATTATTATTTTTTTAATTGCACTGTTCTCAAAAGCCTTTTGTAGTAACGTACAATGTGTGTGCATATACATGTTGTCCGTATGTAAGTCAAATTGCATTTGGTTCATGTACTGCTTCACGGCCACTGGCCTCTGGAACTGTACCTCACTCATCTGAGCACTGCACGTGTCTGCACGCAGAAGAAAACTGTACCATATATAGCGATGTTTATTAAAAGCTAAACTAATCCCCTCAGCCCAGCTGATGGCTCTCTCGTTGACCTGCTATGTGGAAATCACAGATTAGAATTTGCTTTAGTCTGAAAACATCCCCCTGTGAAAGCGTGCTTACAGTCAAAACACTCCTACTCCTGTAAAAGCAGCATCAATCATGTGTTCTGGTTGCCGGGGAAGAAGGGGACCCAACCCAGAGCGATCACGCGATTTTCGGCTACGTCAGAAGTCAGATCCCTCTACAGCAGCACACGACCTGTGCAGGGCTAACACGCCTGCACAGAGGCTAACAGGGACTTCCCTGGCAAGGGCAGGAAAACATGCATTAACTTCAGGAGAAGCAAAAGGTTGCTTTTTGAGAGATGATACCTCTGTGTTCTTCAGCTTCACATAAGCAGCTACCCTTGTGACTTTCTCTGCCTTCAGAGAAAGAGGTGGCAGCCCTGGACTCCCACCTCTGCTTTCCCAGGCTCAAGAAAACACAGTCGGAGCACTACCAGACCCAGGTAGCATCAGACCCAGCAGCATCTTTTGAGTCTCCTTTGGTGAGCAAGCTTAATACTCTGCTACATTTTCCCTCCCTTGGGCTAACATCCAGACCTTTGTTGATCAAAACTTCTAGAAATTGGAAAAAAATAATGCTGTAATATACAACAAGAGAGTCTGGTCTTTTGCAGAAGAAGTCTTCAGAACAGCTGAGAAACTGTCTATGGCTGAAAGCAAGGAGAAAGAACATCTGTTGCTCTTAAACAGCTCTATTTAAAAGAGTAGAGGATGGAAATAGAAGATAAGTCTAAAGAATTATTCAGCAGCTAAACTTATTTCAACAAAATATCAAGCAAAAGATTGGCATTCACTTCTCAAACAGAAAAAAAAGCCTTCAAAATCACAGTTAGTAGGCAAAGTTCTAGCCACATCTATCATTTTAACTTGTCGGAGTGGATCCCAACTTGAGCCTTGATATTGAGACTAATTTGGGATTGGGGCAGCAGATACTATAAAACAGCCCACAGCTCCAGATGGATAAGCCACCTGGGAATTCAGAGGGAAAACAGAGATGAGCACACAGCTCCAGTCCATGACACGCTGCAAACATAAGCCAGGATTTTTGTCACAAAACTAAGCTACTTGTCGCAATGAGAAGTTAACAAAATAAAAGTAGACTTACTAAGCCAAGATTAGTGGATTAGTAATATATCTGGAATCTGCCTCCTATTGCTATTAGAGCTGTGCAGATAAAGCTAGCAGAGACTCTATGCAGATAAAAAAGTTTATGCAGATAAACCTCTCTCTCCTTGATCACTTCAAAACATTGGCAGAGAATTCAAATTTGTGTCCGAAGCGAATGAATGGGCTTGTTCAAAAACCACTAACCTGCTTTTGACTTTTTGCTTAGCACTAACACTAAAATCCAAACACCCAGTGCATAGCCAGTGTAGAGACTGCACTCACAAAAGACTAAGTCTGGTCCCAAGTGCCTCTACGCCAGAGATGATGGGGATCCGGCTGTATTCTGCTGCTGTGAAAACCTAATAAAATGCTGGCAGACGCTCCCCTGTAAGATAAATAATACCGCCTGGAATGGCAAGGACAGGAAGACAAGGCTCCTGTTCCCTATTTTGGCTCTGAAGAACATCTCAGGATATGTAGAATGAAAGAAGATATCTCCTAGATTGGCAATAATCAAAAGCCCGGGAGATTTGCTTCTCTCTTGCTACTCTCAAATGCGGAGAAATCTCTCTCTCTTTTCTGAGACCCGGAAGCGGTCATTTGTTTAAATGTCAGTGAGATGCAACTGCAGCATTCAGCCCAGTGTTGCAGTTGCAGGCCGCTGAAGCAAGATCACTGGAGAAGAAGCATTAAGGACGGGTTTCTGGATCAGCTGATCAAATGAATAGCGTTAGTGTTTCTCTCTCTTATAGTGCCGTTTTGTTCCTAGGAGGAAGAGGATCCCAACAGCATTGGTCAGTTGAGAAGGCAGCATTTGCATGTCACTACAAAATGCTGCAGGTATTAAAACATGTGGTTCAAAGAGGCAAAGCATAGCGGAAACTTTTCCGCACAGCGGAAAAAAGGAGTGTAAATAGTAGTAAGAACTCATACCTGTCTGATTGCTGCAGTAAACTGGAGAGAAAGCAATGTCATCAAGGGCAACGTAACCTCCCTTTGCGCTGTTGAAAGCAACTTCAAATATCACCTGGAAATGGTAATCATTTGTTATTCATCTACCATATACCAAATAATGTACAAAGTACATGTTTGTACTACTGAGTTCTGATCAGACAGCCCAGGTAGACTCCAGGGCAACTCAGAGAGTACTGCAGACGTTGAGATGAACACACTGACTAGTGACACAAATCACGGTCAGACCTTGGGGTCAGATCTTTGTTCACTCAAGCCTCAGGAAGAACCACGGGAAACATATCTGTTCTACTACTTTACGAGGCATCAGTAGTTTTAAAGGTGCAGTAAGGTTACTAGCAGGAGACCATCTGAAGCCAGTACTCAGGGTTGTTACTCTGCATTGACTATATCTTCAAAGCTGCCTGATTACTGCTTTATCTAGTATCTATCTGAGTCAAGAGCTAAAAAAAAGGCCACAAGTAATACTCTGCATGAACTGTCATTATCATATTAAGTTTTCTCTGAAGACAATATCCTCAGACAGTGAAACCCATGCCTTGGCATCATCTGGCAGGGAAGAATTTATTTAAAAAGTTATAGTTAAGATAAAAATCAGAAAAGTTATTATTCTGCTTTGTTTACCATAAAACCAAACAATGATTGTACTCAGCCATTCCCAAGAGACACCATTTCCCAAGATAAGTGGAGGACAGTCCATAATTCTTGAGGAAGTGTGTTAAAACTTATCTTAAGTACCAAAAGCTCTGAATTACAGGAAGACCTTGAGAAAAGGCCTGAACTACAAGGCAATCCCAGGGACAAAGCAAGGATATAAAGACAAACGCTTCCAGAGTGAGAGCCCATTCAGTGAAAGCAATGCCTGTGATGTCTTGCCTAAGTATGAGAGCCAAATTATGAGAGCTGCAAAAGAATCCCAACACTTTTTTAGCTGGAAGAAAAAAAAGAGACTGATGTGAAGCGCAGCCTAAGTAAGCATAAGCAAAGTTTTCTCTTATTTCTGTCCAATGGTCTCTAAAAATAACACCTATGTTATTAATAACTGGATTACATGAAGAATCATGGGGCAGAACAAAGGCACATCTAGCCCAGTGTCTTGTTTCTGATAGAGGAGGCCTACAGAACGAACAGAATAAGGCAAGTCTTCACGTCTACTTCCCTCATATGGTATTCCTGATTGACTTTTTTCTTCCATGAATCTGTCTAATCACTTTTCGACTCATGAAAATAATGGCATTCATAATACGCTGTGGCAGTGAGTTTCACGGCTTAGTTATGTTATCTGTGAAAAATGTCTCTTTTAGTTCATTTTAAACCTGTTACCTGGTCGTTAAGAATTTGGGAAGGCAATGGAAATTATGAGAAAGAGTGACTAGTTAAAGCTTCTCCATTTCATTCACGACTTCTATGAACCTCTACCATGTTCTACTTCATTTTGTTTGCAGGTTGAAGTGTCTTCTTTCACGTAACTTCTCCACTGTTCTGATTATCCTCACCCCTCTCTTCTAGTTCTAGGATATCCTTTCTTAAATGAGAGGATTTGAGTTGTACGCTCTACTGAAGACATGGGTACCCTGTGTATTTATTCAGGGTCATGACATCTTCTATTTTGCTATTTATTCCTCTACAAATAATTCTAATATGAATTTTATGAAAGCCACTAAGAACTGAAATGATATTTTCACAAAACTAACTGCAAGTGACCGTTAACTAATTTATAGCTATAGTGCTGGGACTGTTTTTCCCTTTGCAGTTTATGTTCATTGATTATTGTTCATTACCATTCAGTATATGTTCATTACCATTCAGTATAATGAGATCTTTCTGCAATTCTTTGTGGCTCTTTTGGTTTTTATTATCTTTACGATTTTAAATAGTATCATCAGCAATCTCTGTCACTTCCCTACTTTAAGATATATTTAAGGTAATTTGAAAACTCACAGATACACTTATAACTGGGAGATAAGCATGAGAAACAAGAGCTTTGCATGTGGTCACAGAGCTGTGACATTGCTGGGATAACAGAGACTTACTGAGACACCTTGCGCGACTGCGTGCTGCAATGGACAGATACAGGATCTTCAGGAAAGGCCGGCAGAGGAGACGAGGAGGGGAGCTGCCCTCTGTGTGGAAGAGCAGCTCAGACGTGGGGAGCTCTGGGTGAAAGCTTGTGGGCCTGGGTGAAAGGAGCCACCACTACGCATGGCATTGCAGTGGGAGTGTGTGACAGACCGCTGCTGACCAAGGTGAGGAAGGGGATGAAGCTTTCTTTGACTAACTCAAGGAAGAGACTGTGTCGCACATGCCTGTTCTCATCACGGACTTTAATCTCTCTGACATCTCCTGAAAGGGCAACACAGTGGGATGCAAGCAATCCGGGAGTTTTCTGGAGGGTGTCATGGATTATGTTTTGCTAATCAGGTACTGGCTGGGCCACCCAGGGGTGACGCACAGCTGGTGATACACAGCTGGATCTGATATTCACTAACAAGGAAAAACTGGTTGGGGATGTGGTAGTCGGTGTCAACCTTGGCTGTAGTGACCACGAAATAGTGGAGGTCAAGGTCCTGAGGGGGGTGAGGGAGGCTGGAGAGTAGCAGAGCCCAGACCCTCAACTTTGGGAGAGCCAATTTTGGCTTATTCAGGGAACTTGTAGATGGGATCCCAACTGATGCAACTCTGAAGGACAAAAGAGTCCAGGAAACCTGGTAGGTCTTTAAGGAGAGCATCCTCCAAGCACAAAAACTGCCCATGCCAATACTCAGCAAAACAAGGAGATGTATCAGGAGGCCAGATTCCTAATCAAGAAGTCATGGCACAGCTCTAAGACAAAGAGCAGCATACAGGAGGGGGTGGGAAGAAGAGGCTGCAAAGGAGGATATAAGAAATATTGCCCGAGCATGTCGAGGTAGTGTCTGGAAAGCCAAAGCTCAGCTGGAGTTGAGACTTGAAAGGTATGACGAGGATGACAAGAAGAGCTTCCACAGGTATGTTAACTGTAAAACGCTGACCAAGGAAAACATGGGCCCATTGCTGGATGGGGTGGGTGATTTAGTGACAGTGATTTAGTGACATCCTGAGAGATGAGGCTGAGGTACTCGTTGCCTTCTCTGTCGCCACCGGCAAGGTCTGCCAGGCCTCTGTGCTTAGTAACAGCATTCAAGGAGCATAAGAGCCGCCAGCCAAGACGAGGACTGAGTCAGGGATCGATCAGGAGGGAGTATGCCAAGAGCTGGTGGATGTCCTTGCAAGGCCACTACACATCAGCTTTGACAGAAGGTCAGGGGAGGTCCACCACAACTGGAGAAAGGCTAATTTTGCTTATCTGCAAAGAAGTGCAAAAACTCAGTCTGGGGAACTGCAGACTGGTCAGCATCACTTTGGTCCCTGGGAAAATTACGGAATGAGCCTTCTTGGAGCATGTTTTTGGGCATGTGAGGGAGAAGCTGGTGATCAGGAACAGTCTGCATGGATATACCAAGAGTAAATCCTGCCTCACCATCTGTGATCACATCCAGATTTGTGGATGAGAAGAGAGCAGTGGTTGTCATTTACCTCCACTCTAGCAAGGCTTTCAACACCACCTCCTGCAATATTCTTGCATGCAAGTTGTGACATTACAGTCTGGGAGAAAGGACAGCTAGATGGATAAAAAATTGTGTGGATGGTCAGGCTCAGAGGGTTGTGGTTAATGGATTGTGCTATACCTTGAGGGCAGTAACAAGTGTGGTTCCACAGGGGCCGTTCCTCAAAAAACACCTATTTTCAAGTTTTATTGATAACATCAATCAGTTTGCCTGATACGGAAATCACAACTCAATCTGCAACCCTCCTGATATCCCCTGGAACCTTTCAGAGCCACTTGCACTCTCTATTCCTGACACACATAGGTAATTATACGTTAACTGTACACAACAATTAATAACTTGGTAATTTTATATCTGAGTTCCTTCGACATTCTTCTGTGAATACCATCTGTGTTGATGATTTGTTATTTTAACCTACTCCCCCACTGATATATCAATTTAAGACAGTTCCTTTAATTTCACTGCAGCAAAAAAAAAAAGCTCTAGTGTGAGAATTTCTCTCATATCCTTCATAGGGCACTCAGATGCAAAGGACTCATTTAGCTCTTCTGCTGTGGCTCAATAGCTGTGCACTTCCATTACAGTTCGTTTGGACCCCCAGATTTTTAGCCAACCTTCCTAATTCTGATGTGCTGCCAGAGGCTTTGTAATTCATTTTATTCCTTTAGAATATTATTCCTGCTCTTTCTTTATAGCATGCCAGAGTACATCATCTTTTTGATTCTTCTCATTTGCATTCAACCTCTGCTTTTAGAATAATGTTTTATTCACCACATAGCTTGCTTCACTTCACTGTTTAACCACTCCAGCTTTTTTTGTTTTTGATCCTTTTAAAGTCTTTTCTGATTGTTGTTACATATTAATTCCTGGCTTCAGATATGGTGTCTAATTTAAATGACTTCCATGATATCAGCCAACATTATACCTTGCTAGCTACCCTTGCTCTTCTGTTCCTATAGCTCTGGGCTGAAGTGTAAGTTGCTATCCGATCTCAGCTCCTTTCCTATACAATCTGAAGTCTGACTGTCTCAATGGATGACGTGTAAACTGCTGCGCTTATCACCAGTTTGTCTGCCTACTTACTCTAATGTCCTGCATCACTATAGGAATGTACAGAAGAGCCTTCTATATACAATCAATACTAAATCTAGCTCATCTCACCTTTCTGGGTGAAGAGTCTCCTGCTGGTAAAGCAACTTTGGGTTCATTTGATGGGTTCTATTCATTAACAGATTTATTTGGTCACTGACATCTCAGAGTGGGCTGAGAGAACCTTGACATTATTTAGTGGGAGCTAAAAGATCTTGCACTAGTGGGACTCTACAACCTCCCACAGTGGCCTGTTCAAGTACTGCACCACCTGACCCCATCTTTGCTGAAAACCAAGTACCAGGGTGAAAAGTGATTTCTCCTTCGGCTTTCTGCAATGGCAAAGGAAGCAACCGATCACCAGTATCTTTATAACAATCTTTCAGATGCTCAGAGGCTACTCCCATGTTCCCCCCTTGGTGTGGGACAGCACTGATGTATGTTGCAACCTGGAAGGTGTAACTGGGCCATACAGGAATGGTTGTTTTACCTCCATTGGATACGGTGCATTGAAGTCAACTTCTGCTAAAGTCCAGTCTGCACTCAATGCACTGTCTGTTTTCCAGATCTCTTCATAAAAGCCACTCATATCTCTCAAGTAAACAGTAAAAACAATGCTACTCTCCTGCTTAAGTTGATAATAAAAAGATAAGCAGCCAGACATTGGGGCCGTTGTCTTTGGTGAGATTAGCTGGGCCACTTCCTGAAAATGCTTGACGTAAACAGAGTCCACATACATGTAGTGACCTAAAAGTATAAAAGAAACTTAGTATAAGAACACCCTTTAAAGGACACCATTTAAAAGAAGTATTATAAAAGAAACTTGGTATAAGGACACCACCTAAAAGAAGTATCTACAGATGGGCAGGAATTAGCGTATCGCTACCACTTGGACAGCAATGGTTGGTTCCTAGGAAATTTTAGTAATTCCAGGCAACTTTTTTTTCTCCTTTCTACATTTGGACAACTCACAGTTGCTTGGCCAAAACACCACGGGCAAAATAGCCAGTCTCAGCTCTTTCCCAAGTCTTTATTTTAAAATTTTACAATAAAGATAGTAATAAGCTCTCCACGTTTGTTGGAGCTGTTTATAAATGGAAAAATTCATTACAACTGAGGAAATTCCCTGCCTCACAACAGCTTAGCTTATTATTTAATCTTTAGCTAAGTGCCAGCTTCCACTGAGGTAAACTAAGCAAATGAACAAGACTATAAGCCGTGTGTTTCCTCATCTGTTTTCTTCAGCATTTTGTTTAATATATTAAACGACTTGGCAAGTAATCTTTACTCTGTACATTTCAGTGCATGTATAATTCTGTTTGGTCTGCCTAAGATTTGATTTCTAAACGTTTTATCTTTAGTGAATATTTTTTTTTGTAAAACTTTTATTAAAAAAGGGCCTTGGGGAGTTGCTCATAAATGGAAAAATGCATTAGAATTGAGTAAGTGCCCTGCCCTCCAACAGCCAATACTACCTGCAGGATCTTCAAAAGGTACAGATTCTCAGACTTATGCTGATTTTGGGAGAACTATCTTGATTTAAACAGGACATATACATGTGCCCATATGGATATGCTGTGCATCTATAGCGTTTTCCTCTTTTATACTCTCAGAAACATGGATTTGCAGCATCAAACAATATTGCTGATCAGCTGAAAAACGTTGCCTCACAAGCAGAAAACTGAGTGTCGGATGAAATGCCAAATTCACAGGCTACTTCAGCATTGACATTGCAAGCTGTGTATTTAGGTTTGTACCTGTCCTTTTACCACATCCCTATAGCCCATTAATTAGCTAATACTGTTTTCAAATCTGGAGATTTTTTTCTCCAAGTGGAACAAGGGAAAGGGCTCCCCTGGCATTTGCTCTCCTCCACCACGTCCAGAGTCACAAGACTGTTGAAACTTCAGCAGTACTTGCCTGAGAAGTCAGAGCTTCATTCCTCCTCTGCAGTTTTACCCCATTTCACAGCTGAATTACAATCTCCCTGACAAATGGTTGAAGGGCTTCGTAACATACGTCTTGCAAAAAGAAGGCAGAAGGCTCTACTGTGAATTTTGGCTTCTTGGGATCTTCTCAGTCCATGGTCAGCAGAGAGGGTTTGGCATGAAAGAGAAACCGTCTGGCTACCAGAAAACAGATCCTTCCCAGCTGGAACCTCTTGCTATCTCATACAGTACTTTTTATACTGATATAGATCCACTGTCAGCCATGGAAGTTTTGGTGAGTCAAACTTCCATCAAACATTTTACCAATTTTTAAGCGACTCAGGGTTATGCAGGGCTGGACTGACACTCTGTACTCAACTCACACAATTGTGAAATGAAATAAGAAGGCACAGCGGCATGAGTTAAGGAAGGAGTATCAACCTTACTTTTCATGATGCGATTCCTTGTATTGTCACAAACTTCACTTTGTCTGAGATGAGCAGAGTGGTGCAACAAGCCAGATCTCCTGAGTGTCATCTACTATGGTATTTCATACACAACTATGTTAAAAAACTAAAATATCTGCCAACCCTTCACTCTGACTATATAAAAAGCTCTTCCCTCAGCAAGGTGCCTGGGACAAATATTTCACACAGACAAAGTGCTGACAAAACCCTTAAGCTTTTAAAACTCTGCCTTCTGTGGGCTGCATTTATAGCACTCTGTCTGAGTAAAAGAAACAAAACTCCTAAACCTTGTGCGATTTAATGTCAAATTCTCAAAATGTGCTTCAGTCCCTCTGTTTTCCCGCTCACTTCCAATGGTCACTGAGAAAAAATCCCTGCCAGACGTATGGGCCAGCAGCACAAGTTTTTAAAAGAAATTATATGTTATCACGGCCCAGACTTTTAAAATCCACAAAAAGATGGATTCCTTTCTGCCCCTCCCTGTCCAACATATTATCATAATTCTGAGTCATTTTTAAGCAGAGCAAAAAGCATAGACCCAAACTTTCCATTTTACTTCCATTTTACATTTGTTGCTTACCCAATTCACTGTTAAGTGTGTGGTCTTTGGGAAGGACAGACTGAGAATTGCGAATGTTTCCTCCACCAACAAACCAGTTTACATTGGGGTTCCAGCGGTTCACGAAGCCACAAAGATGATTTTCTTCAAAGTCACATTCTGCAATTGTAGACAGCATCACAAAGATCTCATTACAGCTCAACAGATACATTTTCATCACAAAAACTGGAAGAAAAGCTACTGCTAAGCCCTGGCCTTGCTTTAGGTGAGTCAGTGCCTTGAATGCCTACGCTGACAAAGCTGGACACAACACATAACAGCTTATACTAAATGGAAGCTAATTTAGCCACAATACTTGATGACTGCTCTAGATTCTCATTTCCACCCCGCTCAGTCCTACTTATCTTTCATTATTTGGTAATATATGACTATTATAGCTTAGAACTGGGTAAAATAGATTTAAAATGTACCACTTTCTAGCCCTCAGCCCATAGTCAGAACAGCATTTCCACTTGTAAATCTTACTGCGACTGTACAAAACGACTGTGTCCCTCTGCTGAATGGATGGTTTTGCAGAGAGCTGCACTAAAAGGGTGACCCACTGCAAACCTGCCAGCTCGCTATAGCATGGGGCGAGGGAGCTGTCAGGGGTAGGTGGAAGCAAGGCAGGGCCAGCAGTGTGCACAGCCAAAATATTGTAGTAATTCAGCTGGACTCCACCAAAGTTGTTAAGGCCTCCTAGCCTCCCAGCCACTCCAATTTTTGAACTCCGCTAGCGGTTTTTGGAAAAAGCCATGTGGAACTGACAATAATCTCAATATCAGCATAGTTTTGCCTCTGCAGCCTTCAGGATGCCTTTGTAAGGCAGCATGAACAGGCAGAGAGCAGAAATAACATTGCAGCTGTTATGTCTAATGTTTGCAGCGGTCTAGTTTTGTGAGACTATAACACTTGGTCATGCTCGAACAATGAACAGCAAAATAACAGAATGAATTACTGTATGTGAAAAGTCTATATACACTAGAAAGCAAGGCAGGCAAATAAATACTCATATAAGTGTGCACAATCTTAGTTTAAAAACAATAAAATGTCTATTGCACTAGTTTTTCAGACTATTTTTAAATTTAAAAAAGCTATTCTTTTTTCCCCCCTAAACCTGCACCTTTTGTTCAGTTTTTAAACAGCCAGTGAGGTATTTTTTTCTGGGCAGAGAACATGGGCAGCTGAGCAGAGAGTACTCACCAATACAATATCCTGGAGTTATTTTAATTTCAAAAACTGCTATGCTGGCAGACTTATCTTTTCCCATCTCACCTTCCAGAACAATCTGCACAATATAAACCAAGCAGTACATTTTAGGGTGTCACTGTTCCCATCATAACACTGGACATTTACACCACAGAAACAGGTAAATTAGTGAAACATATGCAAGGAGTCTCATCATCCCTACAGACAGTAGAGGTGCATTTGTCGAAAGAGCCCGGGGTAGTAATAGGCAGACTGCGTTAAGACTGAGTTCACCTCCTTTGTCTACGACAGAAAGCACACTGAAAGGTAATGGGACAAGGCCTAAATAACCTGCACTTTGCATCATTGCAAGTAAAGGACTTTAGACTCCTCAGCTGTGGTTATACAAGAAGTTATTGCAGAGACGTGTGTGACGGGATTTGGCTAGAAATACTCTCCCCTAAGCTCCGGACTCTCTCTGCTTTCAGACAGGTGCAGAGGACAGGAATGAGTGAGCACAGCTGCAGACCTAAGGGCCCGGGAGATCATGCATCTGCCACAGGACAGCAGCTATGCTGGTCTGCGGAGAAGCAAGGCATCATTGGTCTTTAGTTTGATTACTTGTGCTTTCCAGCAAGCCGGAAAATGCATTTATTTGGGAGCACATTAACTGTCCGACTCAGAATAGCATTATTCACTGATTTTAGGGACAGAAAAGGTCAACTGATTCACACAGTGCTAGGCCAGATCAGCTGTAAGCTAGAGGTTTCGGAGCAAGCAGCCAGCATCCCAACAGGATCGAATAAATTCTCCATCTAGCCAGGAAGCATATATTGAAGGCCACACACATGGAAGTCTTGTAAGTGAGAACTTAAAAAGAGAAGTTCTGTTTGCACCCAAGCATGATGCCAAGACTGATTTACAGTTGTGCCTATCTTATGTGCAGTTCTCAGAGAGCACGAACCGTTACAAACATAGGTACCTGTGACACTTCCCAGACTGCCACCAGGACTGTCTGGAGAACGAGCCTTAATTCTCTAACACTTCCTGGCCTTGCGTTCACTCTTGTGTGAACTATATCGCATATAAACCAATAGATGCTGCGTATGGCAGGCCTGAATGTTCAAGCCCTTAAACAAGCAGGAAAGTAAACAAAATCCAGCCTCAGTTCCTGGGGAAAAAAATACCATTTCCGCTTCATTCTCTTCGGTTTCACTGCAGTTAAGTGTTCCTACCTGAGTCAACAATGACAGCCAACAATAAGGCCAAGCGTGCTCAAGTTCAAAAAATAATCCATTTATCACAAGATGTGTATAATAAATCCTGCGGTATCTTCTAAAATTGCACTTACCTTGTACTTTTTTGTGCTATTTGCTAAATCTAAACTAGCTATGAGCCAGCTATCTGAAGGCTCCTTGGCTGACCACAGCAAACGATCAAAGCTCTCTCCTTCTTGCCTCAGATACAGGTTGAGCCTGGTGGGATCAGTTGAAGATCCTGAAGATGTTGCTATTTGGTAAATCAGTCTGATACAGCTCCACTCTTCAGAATGTAGTTCGGGACTGGAAAGTACTGCTTTCTCACCCTCGTAAGATGTATCCACAGAAATATAATGTCCTGGGAACAAAGACAGACACACATCAGAAGAATAAATGTCAGTCTTTACTTTTGCACCTCTGGATAAAAGTGAATATACAGGAATAGTTGCCCCAAGGTTAGCCCAAAAGAATGAGAGCGCCACTCATTTGCGAGGCACGTTATTTTACTCTTTGACATCCCACTATACCCATAAAAGCCTCACTTCATGTATCTTTCAGCATTTTTAATCACGGTTTTTAAATTGTGGTACTTAATGTGTATTGTATTCAGCAAAGTATGTTGTATCAGTGTAAAGCAGATTATTGAAATAAATAGCCAAGTATTTTTACCCAAGTATTGCCTTCCAAGAGTGAAAACTATAGATGGACTGTTTGACTGACAGGATAATTCACACAGAAATATGCTGCAGGAACATTGAGCTGTTTTACAGACCAAAACTCTCTTACTTCATATTTATAATTTAGATTTAAAAGCAATAAATAAAAAATGCATCTCAACTGAAAGCTTCTAAAGCATTTCTGTTTTCATAGGAGAAAATGAGAAGACACTCTCAAGCAATAATACTAGCATGTACAAACCTGTTCATTCAAAAACCGTTAATGTAACACTAAGATTAAACATATTGGCAATCTCCGTAGGATTATTTCAAAACTAATCTCCAGATGGATATTCTAGGAGCAGGGCCTAAAACATCAGCTCTTCTATAAAAACAAAAGAAAGGATGTGATGACAAGCTAAAAATGCTCAAGGAGGCCAGAAAATGCCAAAGAAACAGCATGTAGAAAAAGGGGGCAACAACAAACAAATCACAAGCGAAGCGGAAGCTCGGTCCCACAGACTTTGCCAGCGCACCAAAACCGAGATCAGGAGGAGCGTAACGGGGTAGGAGATTCACAGAGACCAGGAATGGAAAGCCAGAAGCAAACGAAACTGAGAGAGAGAAAGAAACTTTCAAGAAAGAAAAAAAAAAAGAAGCTAGGACATCCACAGCTGAAACGTTACTCCGCAGACGGCCTGGAAGATGATCCTCGCGACGCAGTGGCAGCGCGTATCAGGCAGACCCCGCTCCCAACGCCAGTTCTCAGCACCCAGGCTGCCAGCAAATGTCACGAGAGGCACGACCGTCCCGTCAGCCCTTCGCACGGCAGCGTATCACACCTAGGCTCTTCGCTTTCCTCTGTGTACATACCCCTCTTCCTTTAATCTCACTTCACTCAGCCGCAGGGCCTGTCCTCTCTTCCCACATATATGTCAGCACTTGCTTAACTTGGATGCGCTGGCAACCAGATTGACGTTAAATATACTGCTTGACCTTGGCCTTCAGGCACCCTTCACCCTCCCCTCCCAAATCCTGCCTGAACCCTCTGCTGCTGCCGAGCCGTCCCGGGGTTGGCAGCACTCTTACTGCTCTCCCGCATTCACGCGTATCCTCTCTATGCCGAAAAAGCCAGCAGCCCGGACAGTCCCGAGCTCCTCCACCCCGCGCCGGAGACCCCAGCTGTGGGCGCCACGCGGGTCACAGCCGAGCTGCACATTTGCGTTTAGCAGATAGAGAGGCGGCCACTGTTTATCAGCTTTTGGGGTAGGTGCAGCGCCAAGCAGTCCAAGGGGCTGTGCAAACACAGGGAAGCTGCATTTTCTTTCCCCTTTTTAGGGAATGGAGAGATTTTTGCCTCTTTCTATAATTTCTCTCTATAAACCCTATCTACCGTGTTTAGCTTTAGTTTCTTGGAAGAACACACAAAAAATCATAGGTGAAGTGCAAGTAACTCGTTACTGCAGCAGTACAGGAAATAAAAATAAACAAAGGATATGGGAATATTTTAAAATAGGTACCTAACGTGCCTGCCAAATATGCAATCTGCCATCAGCTACAATGTGAGTGCATAAAACATCCACTCACATATGGATATCGGGTTCACAAGAGATAGCACGCAGAGTATTTGCTTGCTGCCATGCTCTAATCCAGGGCGTGCACATTTTCTCAGCAGCACGGAGGAGAGAGGGAATCACCACGGCTCTGTTGGAAATGGAACATTTCTCACACCACACTTGCTCACAATTGATTTAAGTGGCAATATCCAGTTCAGAGAAAGAATCTGGTTTTTTTCAAGGTAGTCTTAATTTGGATCATTTTGGTTACAATGAAACCTACTATTCTGAATCATGCCTGGCAATTTCAGCCCTATTTCTGTCTACTGTTCATGAGAAACCCTTTAGGAAACAGAACCTTCTTATAATAGTCACCTTTTTCTCAGAAATAAATTAGTGTCAAGACAGGAAAATAAACTTACATCGAGACCTCAAATTACCAGCTGTTGAGGCTCAAAGGGCTGTCTGCCTTGAAGACTTAATTATAAGTCGACTAAGGTTCTTCTACAAAAATAGTCATTTAAAAAAGAAACAAAATGTCTTAAGAGTCTCCAGTCTGGAGGATTACATCACCATACACTTGACTTTGCTTCCTCTATATGCTCTACACTTACTTTCACTTGATCTGACTCCCCCTTGATTAGAAAGCAAAAATCATGAAGTTTTTTTCAATCAAGTTCCTTTTTTTTTTTTTTAAGATTAATTTGATATATTGGGTAAAGCCTCCAGAAATGGAGTGCTCTCACTCCCAACTTGCTAATCATTTTAGCACGCTCTGAAATTTAAGTACATGATCGGCTCCTCTGAAATCAATGGCACTATTGATGAGGCGCATTATGTGCAAGTCTCAGTGCTTTGCTCATGAGGATCAGAGAGCCTGCCACTTTGCAGAATCAAGCACAGAAAACGCTAATGCTAAACTTTCACCAAATGAATGCTGGCATTGACTAAATGGCCTTTATACTGAACTGTATTTCAATAATAGCGTTGCCATGTGCCACTGCTGCAGAAAGGAAGGTCTCAGCATCGACCTCAAGGGCTGACACAGAGCGACTGTGAGAAGCAGTTGGTGCAGAGAGAGGGTTCCTCCGAGCGCAGAGACCTTCCCCACTTCTTGGGGGAGTAACAGAAGGATATTTAGCAGTTCAGTCTACGAAAATCTGATGAATGCATAGTGCTGTAGAGTGAAACCTCTCATTAAAAATGCAACATAGAGCTTCATTTTCCAGTATGCCTTCCCCCTCCCCTCAAATCCTCCTCCCTCCAGCTGCCCAAAGCACCTAGTTTTTACAGCAGCCACTCATGAGTTATCAGGGAGCGCGATTCTTCGCAGTCACACAAAGGTAAAAGAACAGCAGGCATCAAGTGCTGGAAAAAGCCTGATCACCCAGAAACACAGATACATCATGGTGGGCACCATGCTAGCTTCTTTAAAGGGGACAGCAGCCCGAGATTGGCAGCTACCTTTAATTGCTGATGATTAGCTGTTCCCTGGCAAAGGTAAACACATACCAGATATATTTCCCTCCCTTATTCACCTATTACCCAAGCTGGCAAGTAAAGCATTTTACCACATTCCTACAGTGTTTTTTCACCCACTGGGTGACTTAAGTGCTTTCTCCTCCACCGCTGAATCAGACTCTGCACAGCATCACGCATGTGCTCACTTTACATTCCTCCTTATCTGAGCAAAACACTGAGCCCCGGGGGGTCTAGGACCCAGTGTTGCAAACCTAACCATCCTCAAAGCAACTATGCATTGGGGTAGCATGACTTACAAAATGAGACCTTTAAAAACCTTGTCTATGCACGTCTTTGATCTTGCTATTCTAATAAGCAGTTTCTTACAGAGTATCTCTCAATTACAATTGATTAAACTGTAACTTTATGAGTCATTCACCCAGATTTTGCATAACTATTTAATCTCTTTTATTTTTACTTACCAAAGAGGCATCAATATGTCAATTAACAGTGATTACATCAGTGATTTGGGTTTTTTTTTTTGAGATAGGCAATACTATTTTGTCCCCAAAACAGGAAGAAAATTACACTTATTGCTCTCTCTGTAAATAACACAAACATGGCATAACATCAGACACTGGCTAAAAAAGTAAACCAAATTCCATTAACAAAATAAAAAAATGCTTAGGATAACTAAAATTACCAGCTAGCTTTTCACTATGTATTTAGCCTGTAAGCATTTGGAAGTAAAACCACAGGTGTGTCCCACCCTTCATGGGGTTTATATCTGACACAGCTGTTTGCTCACTTCAGCAACAGTGTAATTTTAGAAGAAAAAACGTATATAAACAGTGAGTTCCAAGAGAAACATTATTAAGGAAATATGAAGCAGAAAAAGGGTAGGATTTACATTTTATTAGACACTCATTTATATCCGTAAATGTGCAAGAAATGTCTTAAAGTTACCAGTCATGGTTGGATTTCCTCCATACTTCCCATACGGAAACAGAAAATATTATTATCAGGGTTTCTTAAAACAAATATTGATCTCCTGATACCTTCTTTGGAATCTCAGCATCTAGATTTCTCGGGGGGAGGAGGGGGGGTGGCTTTTTTTTTTTTTTAATATGATACTGCTAAAAATAAAATAGAAAAGGAGACCATTTTCAGGACCCACTAAGCCTTCTTATGTCACCAGGAAGAGCTAGTTAAGAAAAAAAAAATAATGATAGAGCCAGGGAGATATCATTTTGCAGACTGAGTTTGTACTATGGAGGCTATCCTTGGGTACAAATTAGGTTTAGGTGAAGGTTCAGAGTTTGAGCTGAGAGCACAGAAGTTCCACCAGCTACTTCTATGAGATTTTGGCTGTAACTAGCAGAAGGTTCGAGATACTGGACAGGAAACTTCACACTCAACACTCCGCATTTGGCTCAATCTTTTTTCAACAGAAAACAAAATTTTCAGCTGAACTGGACGTTTTTGAGGACAATTTTTCTTGAAAAATAGAGGCACATGGATCAAAATCAAATTTATTTTATCTAAGAAAAGTTAAATTTTCTGAAGAAACTCCTTCCCCTACCCAGGATCAGTCATCATGTTTTCTGGTCTGAGGGTTTTTTTGGAGGGAAGATTTGGAGAGTAAAGCGGGGGAGTTTGAATTTTTTTCAAGGTGTGTCTTGGGAAAACAAAACATTGTATGAGTAAGTGACTTTTTGGTAGGAAGAAAAGCTTTTGCTCCACCATTCCACGAAGAATTGCGAACGGGCTTTCCTCCTCTTGCACAACTGCAGGGGCGTCTCCCGTCCGACACTTACGCTGACGCCTGTCTGCAGCCAACCTGCCCATCCGCCTCTCCCCAAGCCCCTCTTCTTGCCCGACCAGGGACACCTGAGGACCCCATGTGAACCTGCCGCGGCATGATTTCAGCTTTCTCAGGAGGAACAAAAGGGTTTCCAGGCAACTTTCATAAAGCCGGGTACTATTTATTCCAAACAAAAGCATTTTATACAGAGGCATCACCTCAGGCAGCGAACACACGGGGAGTTCTTCCAGGCAGCCACGCACCAACCCAAGGCCTGACAACAGCACATCGCCCTCGGGCAGGTAAACTAAGCTCATCTTGAGCCGAATCTCCTTCCGGAGGTGAGATTTATTATTTGACTGTTTGCCAAGGACACCGAATCTGGTCAGAGCGCCTGCGTTTCCCAACCCAGAGGAATGAATTTTGGAAGATTTGTTACCCACGCAGAAGTCTTGCATTAACTACCACCCCCACCTCCTGCGTTATCCTTTGTTTCTGCAGAAAGCTCGGGAACATAGCTGTTAGCAAGCTCATCAAAAAACATAAAGGAAATACCCTGTGACTATGGCATGTGGTCACCATTGCTACCACACCGCAGTGCCTTCCAGCCTCCATCCATGGGCTCGATTACAAGAGGCTGGCGGATGTTCAGCTTCTGCTGCCGTTCTCTGTTTCTGATTTGCAGCAGTTGCTCCACTACGGCTGTCTCACTGGGGATGTTTCCACTGTAAGGACTTCTGGCAACCGCCATGTCCTCTCCTCACTCTCCCCCTTGAAATCCCAAGATCCTTACATCATGCACCAATTACACCAGATCTGCTGTTTTGTTCCAAACGCAACCATGTGGCTTTGTTTTTGTTCATAATGACCTCACATGTTTTTATATACTTTTCAACTTTTCCTTTCTGCTTGTTTCAACCGATCCATCAGTTTCAGGGAGCTGTTGATCAAATTACTGAGCTCTCCCTCTCACATGGTTCATCATATAATTTTGACAGGCTTTTTATCTGCAGAAGTAAAGGCTTCCAGATCCCTGTCTGTTAGCTCTGGTTTTACTTGCAACAGCTGTTGCAAAAGCCACTTCTCTGACTCTTATTAGCCGGTGCCTTTGAGCAGGAAGTAAGATTCTGAGACGCACGATTCTCTGCTGTGAATGTGTAAATTGGAAAGATATCATTCAGAATAGCTTTTTTCTTCATGCTTCGGCTTCCTAGATCAGTTTCCGTCGTCCCCAGTGCACAGTGAAAGTTAAAGATAAAAAACAGACCAAGTAGAAACCATCAGGCATGTTCACAGTATTCTGCTCTTTGATTCCTGGCTCTGCCCCTTGACTAAATCATGTTTCTGACCAGAATCAAACACGCAGCGGAAGGCTCTGCGATAGCTCTTTCAACACAGTTGCTTGTTTTGGCAGAGAGTAGCACAGGGTAGCCATTCTTCAGTAAAGGAATATGCAATTTCTCTCCTATAGTGTTATTTATTCATCTTGTTGACATTTAATTATGCAGTTGCACACAGCGTGATGTGGTGGCATATGTCTGTAACGCATTACCAGCTCTGCTTTGCATTACTTGCTGAACACACACATGACTCAGCTTGCCCAAGGCAAACCCACCGATCTGCAGTCCGCACAGCTGGCCTGACCACAAGAGGTGTTTGGCACTTTTTCTTTGAAAAAGAAGCTACCAGGTTTGCAATTCCGAGTGAACCTGCCGGCCCCTGCTTTAAACGCAAAGACTTATTGGAGGAGAAACTTCCTCCATATGCCCCAATTCTTCCACGTTGCTCCAAAGGGGTTAAACAAAAAGCTTGCCGCCTAAGCGAATAAAACCTCTGGAGCAAACCTGAATGCAGCCAGCGGAGCGGGAGGACCCCGGCTCTCACAGCAGCACCCCCGGGAGGGACAGAGGACAAGCAAGCCTGGGAGTGGGGCCTGACACCCAGAGAGGAGCAGTAACAAACCTCTGCCTGGATTGACTTGGGTGCACGTAGGAGCAGGGTTACACCAGGCACCTCACATGCAGAGAGCTCCTGGGCCAGGCCCTAAAGCCGTCCTTGGGGAAACAACAAAAACAACCAACTGGTAGCCCCCTAGAGTGAATCTAAAAACAAGGATGCGCTCAACAAAAGATTACAGACGCTACTGTGTGGATCTGCTCACTCTGCATCTGCCAAATCACTTGGCCTACTGTATTACCCTGAAAAATAGCTCATCTGCCTAAAAGCTTGTTTCTCTCCCAGCTGCATCAGACGTTCTAATAAAATGTTACCTTGGCCCACAAGCCCTGTCCCTCCAAGGAACGTTATAAACGTAAATGTGCTTGACCTACATCAATTACATTTACTCCAGTGCTCACAGGAAGATCTTTACCTGGGCCTGAGGTCCTGCATGGACTAAAATCATCTACTTCTTATCACTGGCTTCAAAAGCTGAACTCCTGTGAGTTCAGATCGCTGTTTTCTGCACGGTTTGTGTTTTCATACCACTTTTTTTGCACCAGTGTCCTTAGGATGACCAGCAGAGTCCTGGCGGACTGATCAGTGATCTTACACCACAACATACATACAGAGCTCCTGACAGATGAGGTATACGTTTAGATTCACGTCCTGAAATAGCTAGCTAGAGAAAGCGCTTAAAGGTGAGCTAATCAGATCCCGATGGGTGCTAACAGGCTACCTGAGGGCCACTCCATCTGCTTCAAAAAACAGTTGCTGCATGCTGGCTCGCATGTTGTTCACCCACTGGCGGCTGCTGCAGCTGCCTGTCAGTTGCTGCCACTTTTCCTCAACAGCCGCTTTAAGCGAGAAATCAGGCAGCAGGACACATCCTCCATCCCAGAAAGCTTCACCCTGGACCAGTGAGATGCAACAGTGACAGTTCAGCACCTGCAACCACCAAACCTGCAGCCGAGGAACAAATCTATTGATGCTGAATACCACAACCACCAGGACTACGGCCAATCTCTCCCGAAGCTCTGCACAACTGCGCCCAGCAGTTATCCACTTCAAGGATCAATATTTTGGGCCTCAATTTAAAGAGATACCTCTGTGTCAATGACCTCGTAACTCGTTCCTCTTTGGCAGGCGGCTAGCAGCAACTGAAGCTGTGCGCGAATGTATACAGATTGAGCTAAAACTCACAAAATTGGAGAACTGGGTTTTTCAAGGGTTTTTCAAACTAGGTTAAATAACTGCAATCTCTGAAATATCTCATATGCACATTTTATGAGGATGGAAACTATCTGTATATTTAATCCTGAAACATCATGCCATGCTCACCTACATTTGCCGTTTGAAATTTAAATCTATCCAGCTGCACTATGTTCATTAGGTGTCAAATCCACTAGGTCCAGAGATGTTCATATTTAGCCATGAATTTTTCCTTCAAGTATAATGCATCCAGCTCCCTATCTCTTCCCTTCAAGGAAAAAGTATACTTTAAACAGTTTTTATTTGTGCTCCATGGTAGATAACATCCATCAGAAGCTGAGCACAGGAGTTCTGGTCAAAAATCCTGCTCCTGCAAGGGATTTAGAGCTCCTTTGCAAGAACATGAGTAATGACTTTTGGCCTGAGTAACCTTAAATAGAATCTGCTAAAACTGGGCAAAATGAATCTAGAGGCGGATTTCACAGCCCGCAAGCCTGTGATTCAACCTATCAAGGCTAATCCAAGCTTTCAGGCTTTTATTATTATTATTAGCCTCTACCCCTTTTTGCTGAGGTGATAATTTTTAAAATATGAAATGGTATAAATTATAAAGTTGGGCTGAAAGCTTGCCATGTTTCTTCCAAAAACTCCCATGCATTTATGATTCCCCAGGACGGCTTTCCGAATTTTACAGGGATTCCAGACAATTGTATATTTATAACTTCACTGTTGGTCTCAAAATTCAGAAGACCCCAAGGTATTTTACAGGAGGCGATGGCCCTCTGTGGAGAGGCGCTGGTACCCTGTGGCTCCCTCCCCTCTGCCACAGCAGGTGCAGTCTCTCGTAGTACTAGACGGGAGGTTCGGCTCTCAGTGAGACATTTGTACTATACAGAATTATTTTTGTAGGGAAGGCTCACTTGATACCAAAATCAAAAGACACTTCTTTGGGCAAACTCCAGTCTCAGGGACCGGGAAGAAACGGATGCCCACGGCCATTTAGGAACAGAATTAGTATTTTGCTTTCCACCAAATACCTTATCTCTGGCCTATATTAACAGAATTCTGCTAAATTTTAGCTTGCTTGGCTTTTGCGTTTTAATTACAACAGCCAGGCGTTTCCTTCGTTGAGCCTAGTTCCAACTCAGTGAATGACCTTACATCTGCATTCATCTCCGGTCATCAGATGCCACCTAGAATATGCCCCAAGGTCTGCCACCTGCCCGGCCCCATCCAGCCGCTACGCATCCCCCACGTCCCTGCGGCCGCGGGGCTCCCTCTCGCTGGGCAGCGACCAGGGCACAAACTCCTCCGGGCCACCCCAGCCCACGTTCCTCCAGCTCCCCAGCGGCACTCGTCGCCGCACGTGCTCAGGCCTTACGCGCGCCCCGGATAGCTTCCCTTTTTTTCTAGATAACTTTGGAAGTGAAGCGCTGGTGAAACTTTGGAAAAATTTTAGCATTTACTGCAATTTCATTCCAGTGGATATCTGGTATTGCCCTGAGGCGTTTCCTTGCAAGGGCCTTTAACCTACTTAGCTTTGAGCTGTGACACACCTTTAGGAAGACAGAAGTAACACTAGAGAGATACACTGGTCATTGGAAAAAAAGGATCAGTCTGACTGTGCCAGTTCATGACATTGTTTCCTTCAGGATATCCTCACTGACTTGCACTTCACTGCCAAAGTAGGTATAACTCTGGCAAAACTTCACAAAATTTGGGAGTTTATAGGTCCTCATTAAACTTGCTTTTTTTTCATAACAAACTATTAAGGCTACTAAGCCTCATTTTATTGACTTTACAGTCTAAATATCCTCAAGTGGTAACACAGATGTTCAGGCAGCTTACGTAACCCATAAAATATAATTTAGATTAACTTACCTTAGTGCACCTGGGGTACCAAATCTCACTGGGCACTTTATACTATTCATACAGCATGATTCTCCTGAAAACGTGCCCCCCAGTTTATTGCTCAAAAGACGATAAAAGAGCACAGAATGGCTAAAACAGATGTGAAGCAGGATCCACCTAGCCCAAGTGGTAATATCCAAGAGCAGCATCGAGTGGAAGCTCAGGGAAGAATTAAGAAAGAAACAAGCGTATTTAGATATTTCCCCTTATACCCTCCCAGCCCCTGACATTTTTCAGCTCGGAGGACTTCCTGAGCTGACAGTGGTATCAACTGTACCATTAGATGAGCCTAATTTAGCAGCATGCGCTTTGTATGTATTCTAAATCAAAACAGATTCTGTAGAAAATAAACTCTGCAGAAATCACTTTGTTCTGTCTGCCAAGCTTTGTGTGGTCTTTCTGAAAAACAGTCCGTGGCACAGTTTTTTGAGAAAGATTTTTATAGTGTCATATTTGCCATAAAATATAGTTCAGAAGCTATCAGAGACAAGGCAAAGGCTCGAATGTTGAAGGGTGTTATAAAATTCCATAAAGAAAGTGCAAAATAAATTCATTCCGCCACTGCTCCTAGCACATTGTATGCATTCTTACAGCTTCCCCAGGAACAAGGAATTCTGAACTGGGAAAGCACTTTCTGCAAACAGGCAGCCTTTTGAGGGAAAACAGAGCAGAGGGGCAGGGTGCTGGCGC